AAATTCCAAATTTTTAAATTCATCCCAAGAATTTGAATTATATTACGAATGTTAAATTAGGCTGGATAAATTTCATATGTTCGAATTTAATCCAAAATTCAAATTTGAACCGTAATCCAACAGTCAATTTAAAGTTGGATAAATTCCAAAATTTTAAATTCATCTAGAATTTGAATTTGAATTATATTCTGACTTTTAAATTAAGTTAGATAAATTTCATATTTTCAAATTCATTCTAAAATTCAAATTTGAACCATAATCCAACGTTCAATTTAAAGTTTGATAAATTTCAAATGTTCAAATTCATCCCAAATTTAAATTTGAATCATATTATGACTTTTAGATTAAGTTCAAAGTTAAAATAATAATAATAATAATAATAATAATAAAATTTTTGAAGATAATTTAAATTTCAATTGATAAATTACAGATGTCATATTTTAAATTGTGCAAATATACTATCAATTGGACCTACAACAATATTTTGGCCTATGATTAAAAAAATAATCAGAACGATGACTTAAATCCATCTTTTTGGTCGTTCAATATTTTCGAAATTCATCCATAATTATGTTTGACATAAATTTCAAAAATGAGCATTTGTAAAACCATAAATTCCAGGCCAATCATAAACGGCCACGTAATTATTAACATAACTATATTTTATTAAATTTGGGGGCAATTATAAATTATCCCTAAATTAAAATTAAAGACAAAAACAAGAATTCGAAAATAATGTCCGGTGCCTTTCATTGTGCCCTTTAGATTGGATTTAATTTAATTGGTCATCTGGGATCCCTGGGGAAGAGGATCAAGTTGGCCCTTGTGAACAGCTTGATGCACTATCTCCCTTCAACCCTTTGAGCGAAATGCGGCAAAAGGAAGGAAAATCCATGGACCGACCCCATCGTCTCCACCCCGTAGGAACTACGAGGGTTACACAAAATTGGGCTTAGGATCAATTTAGTTCACATATCAATTGAGTAATATTTTGACCCAAAATCCAAATTATCATAAGACCATCATGGTGGATTAATGTTTAAAGTTAAATAAGTCGAAATCCAGTTAAATAATTGAGTTGGGTCAAAAATCACCTAAACCCAAACCTTTTGAAATTAAATTGGGTTCATGACCCAAAACCATGGGTTTGATCCAAAATAACTCAAGCCCAAAGCGCACTAAACCTATGAAAACCTCTATAAGAAGTCTCCCTCTTATTTCCAAGAGTGCAAGCATGGAGAGAATTCACATATACTCTCTGAAACTTGAAGATTCAAAGACCAATGTGAAAAAAATTAAAGACTTGAAGACTTTTGAAGAACATAGAACTTCGATCTCAATTCAAGAACAAGCATCTCAATCTTCACATCAAGTTCGAGAGGGGGATAAAGACTAGAGATTGAATCTACTACACATATAACAACATAAAAGTTCAACTCCACGAATTATAATTTTTTCAAAAATCTCGTGTGAACAATGAGGACCAGAGTATGAAATATCTGTCACATGTCGACGTTTCGATGTGTCCATAGGTTAAACATCAATATGAGGAGTAAATCGACATTGTCATGGTATTGCAAAAAAATCGACACATTTTAAAAAATATCAACAAATTATCACCAATATAGGTTGGGTTTTGGAAAAATATTGGAATGGAAGCTGTCTCACATTGGAAAAGAAACAAGAATGGTCTCCATGTGCTAGAAGTTGTCCCACATCGGAAAAGTACAAGGAGAAGATGTGTTCTAACTACTATAAAAGGAGCTCATGGGTTTGGGTTTTAATCATCCCAATTGAAATACTTTAAGTCTGGTATACCAACTTTAGTTAACTGAGCAGTATTTGCTTTGAAAGAGAATTTTGTGTAATTGAGGTCAGGAAGAGAAATCTGTGTGATTGTAATAATTTTCACATAGTGGATTTTTCCTTGTGGGTCGTGGTTTTTTCTCTGATTTGGAGTTTTTCCACGTTAATTCTTGTGTTTCTTTATTTTATTACTTTCTTTAAATTTCTCAATTATTTTCTGTTTATTCATGCGGTTAAAGTAGGGGATTTTTTCTCATCAAGTGGTATAAGCTCCATAGTTGCAGCATTGTTTGAACTTCCACATCATAAAAGATTTCTTGAAACAAGCTACGGTTCTGTGAATAGTGTGGATTGTTCACTATTTGCATATTTGCTAGGAGTGTGAAGCAGATATGTCATTCTTTATGAGTCCAGTGAAGATTGACGTAGAGAAATTTGACGGAAGGATGAACTTTGGCTTGTGGCAAGTGCAAGTCAAAGATGTCCTGATACAATCTGGGTTACGTAAGGCGGTTGAAGGGAAGACTGAGTGAAGGTGCTTCTGAAAAGCTAAGCGGTGATGGTGGTCCAATGGAGTCCATTCCAGCAAAGGTTCTAAAAAGTCCAGCATGAGTGATGAAGATTAGGAGGAAATGGATTTGAGGACTGCAAGTGTAATATGAACAGGTTTTGCTAAGAATATTCTTGCGAATGTGCATGAAATTTCAACAGCGAAAGAGTTTTGGGAGAAGCTCGAAGTGTTGTATCAGGCAAAGGGCATTTCAAATCGGTTGTACATGAAGGAGCAGTTTCACATGCTGCGAATGGAGGAAGGTACGAAAATTTCAGATCATCTCAGTAATCTCAATAGCATCATCTTTGAGCTGGAGGCGATTGAAGTGAATATAGATGACGAAGATAAAACACTCAGGCTAATCTTATCACTTCCACCTTCTTATGAACACATGAAGCCAATCTTGATGTATGGAAGGATACTTTGAATTTTGCCGAGGCTACTAGTAAACTGCTGTCAGAGGAAAGAAGACTAAAGAGTGAAGGGCGTACTTCACACGAAGATTCGACACTGGTAACTAGCAATTGGAAGAAGAATAAAGACTTCGTACAAAATAAAGCTTGTTGCTGAGGATGCGAACAGTCTGGGCACATGAAGAAAGATTGTCCCAACAGAGCTGGTTCGTCAAAGGGCTCTAGGCAGAATGCTCGCAATGTTTCTCTCATCAGGGAAGACGATGATCAGTTCCTTTGAAAAGAGAGAATTCATTCTCATGGTTTATCCGCTTTACCATGATAGAGAATGTGATATTAGTAGTTCCACAAGTTTACACATGGGCATGGGCTTGGTGGTTATACAAGGTGTGTGTGGTGGAAGTTATATCGAGGCTGAAGAACTTCCAGGTGAGCCAAGTAGGTGGAAGTTGCACCATAAATCTCAGCAGGATTTATCGACGTGTGACGAGGAAGAAAAACCTTGAAAGGCGACATTCCAAGTGATCTACTTTTATGGTGGAGTAGTCTATAGTCCTCTGACTTGAGAATTATGACTGTCGGTGAAGACAATAAGTGCAGTAGAAGCTGTGAACTTTTCAATATCTTGCTAAGGTGGAATTTGATGGGTTTTGGTAAAATATTGGAATGGCAGTTGTCCTACATTGGAAAAATACAAGGATGATCTCCATGTGCTAGAAGTTGTCCCACATCGGAAAAGTACAAGGAGGAGATGTGTTCCAACTACTATAAAAGTAGCTCATGGGCTTGGGTTTTAATCATTCCAATTAAAATACTTTAAGCCTGGTATACCAGCTCTAGTTAACTAAGCGGTATTTGCTTTGAAAGAGTATTTTGTGTAATTGGGGTCGGGGAGGGAAATCTGTGTGATTGTAATAATTTTTCACATAGTGAATTTTCTCTTGTGGGCCGTGGTTTTTTCTCGGTTTGAAGTTTTTCCATGTTAATTCTTGTGTTTCTTTATTTTATTGCTTTCTTTAAATTTCTCAGTTATTTCCTGCTTATTCCTGTGATAGAAATAGGAGATTTTTTCCCATCAATATAGACATAACGTTAATATGAATCATTTTTAACTTATTTAGAAACGTTGAAAGGCTTATTTGTTCATTTAAATAGTTTTTATGAATTTTTATTTTTTATAACATTTCTAGAAGTATTTGCAACATCAATATTTCCATCAATATTTCATGAAATTGAAACTTTTGTATTGTCATTGACATCGACGTTTAAAACTTTGATGAGGAAAAGTGATATTTTAACAATTTCAATTTTTATAAATAGAAGGGAATTTATAAGAGTTGATTGAGGACCATGACATTTTTAACCAATAAAATTGACTTAATTTAATAAAATAAGTTAAAGAAAAAGGAACACTTTTAATCCACAATTATAAAATGATTCTATTTGGTAGAGTATGCGTGGGAGTGATAGTAGAATTGATTTTAAACCTTCTTAAAATCAATTTTTATATGATGAATAGAATCGCAGAAGTGATTTTGACAATGACAAAACTCCCAAATACACCCTTATTCTAGACGCATCGATAAAAAAATTGTTCCAAATAGTTGATTAAGTTTGTCTTAATGGTTTGGAGGAAACAAAATGACAAATTAAGAATGAATTAAAAAAAACTTTATAAATCTAAAATAACTTCAAACTCGCACTAATGCAATATTTATTGATGATACTCATTCAAAATATATCTTAATCAGTTGAGATAGAAACTGATGATCGGCTTTGGCCAAGTAACAAAACAGTAGGTAAAATTAAAGGTTTATTGAGAATATTTTGCCAAAATAAAAAATAATAATAATAAATATCAATAAAAATTTATAGATTAAAATACTATTTTAGTTCTTATAATTTCAGTCTTGGTTAATTTTAGTCCATGATGTACTTCAAGATTCATTTTATTACTTATACTTCTAACGTTGATTCATTTTATTCCATGTACTTTCAAAATGTTAATTTTAATTCCTATACTTTTAAAAAGTGATCATTTTAATTCATATTTGCAAAATTTTAACACAACATTTACACATAATGAAAACTTAATATAAACATGATATTAAATATTCATCGACATGTCGACATTTTATCGACATTTTATCGACATTTTCATGTATCCATGGGTTCAACATCCACACGAGGTGTACATCATCATTCCCATAATATTAAACACAATCACAGAGCAGAATAATGTAAATTTATCAAAGCAGAAAAGAAAAATTGTTTGAGCCATTGTCCTTTAGAATCACACCTGCCCCCCAACCTCATCCAGTTTAAAGATTTGCCTTCCCCAACTCATTTTATTCATGTATAAACTTATTCATGCATAGCAAATTGCTACTTATTCATCTCTCAATAACTAAACACAAGATGCACCTACTGGTTTACGAGATCAAAACCCAATTTTCGTAATTGTAAAGTCGAATCCGTCACATTGCCATATAGAAAACCCCGACGCTGCTCAACAGCTTCGGTCCCAATCATTTCAGCTATATATTACATGATGAATAATGTAAATTCTAAGAGTCTCTTATTCTCATTGTTTTGCCTGCAATGTGAAAGATTTAGTTAGAAATTAGATTGGATTCAATCAGTGAAATAGAGATAGAAAGCACCAAGCAAACAACTGAATGGTGAAATGAGATGATTTACCTGTGAATACAAGAAGGTCCCAAAAACGGCGATGGCGGCTCCGAGAGCGTTGACGGGCTGGACCGGGGTGCGGAAGATGATGATCGCAGAAACTATCACTGATATACGCTTCATGGTGTTACCAATGCTGAACGTCAAGGGAGAAATCTCATCCAACGACATGTAAGAAACTTGGTTGTAGAGATGATAGAACACACTCTGTGCTGCTACCCACCTACCAATAAGAGAAACACCACAAACTTTAAAACTAACATGGAAGAAGAAAAGATTTGTAATAAAAATGGTATCTTCATATGAAATAACCATGAAAATTTGAGCATTTCAAGGTTTAGGCAAGAGTAAAAAAGAAACAGAATCGATAGGTCGATTACAAATGAACCATTAGAATCAAAGTAAATGTTCAGGTTATCAAGACAGTGAGCGGTATTTCTAGCAGGATATAAGACATCCCATTGAAGACATTTGAACAGAAAAAGAAAATGCAGGTCCTATGTATGAACTTGATCTGTAAAGTTAGTATGATTTATCGATGTCCTTCGATCGAATAAACTTTCAGAGGATGAATTTGTTATAAAGGGCAAGTTATAAGCAAAAAATCATATAAGTTTATGACTGCTTACCATACGAAATTAGGTCCAATCTGAGAGAGAGCTGTTTTCCATCCAGCAGCCCATATTTGCGGTCCTTCGACAGCAATGGCGAACGGAGTAAGAATCAAAAGGGACAATATCGAAAGACAGGCGTAGTAGTTCATTCCACTAACGGACTTCCCCTTCATGCCTTTCTTCGAGAATATGTTTCGGAAGACGAATGCCAAGTTTGATATCATGGCTCCCATGAAACCTGAAGAAATGAACACAACTTAGAGCTCTCAGAAAAATCTTATAGTTAGTTGCATATTACTCTCAACTCTGAATACCTCTTACAATAAGATTTTCGTTTCAGTTTCACCAACATTATAGCAAATAAAAATCATTCATTCCATAATAAATAGGAAAATAGAAGATCCCTAAACTTTTGTACTTGTTTATATTAGGGCTTTGTATTTTCAAATAATCTATTTTCGTCTCCTAACGTTCATATACCCTCATTTTGGTCCTTGTCGCTACATTTTAATCTTATATTATAACAAAAATATTTGGCCACCTGCTTTTGAACTTAATGCCAAATTTAATTCGTTACATATAACTTAGAACACAAGTTCTTGCAATGCCATGCATGATGTCTAGTAGATGCAATAGGGAATTCCATTGACAAGGATCAAAACCAAACATTTGAAATTAAAGGGAGTTCCATACTAAGAATTTAAATCTATATGCTTAAAACACAAGTTCCTGCAATGCCATATTTATAGTAAGCAATATCAAATTCTAGTGACAAGGATCAAAACAAAACATTTGAAAGTAGAGGTTAGTACCCTACAAAGAGAGCTGAATGTAATTACCAATCATGTTGAAGTTGAGCTCAGTCACAGCAGCGAGCGCACAGCCACCGATGATCGGGACGAGAGAGAGATAGACAGGAAGTGGAAAAGTTTCACCCAACAAGAACCTTGAAACCAGTACACTAAAGGCAGGCTCACCACTCTTGATGATATGAGTGAATGAGACAGCGACCTTTGACATGCTCACGGTTGCCGCTACATGTCCAATCGTATGGGCCACAGCAACCTATTCATTCAAAACCATCGCCAAAGTTTCAAACACAAGATTACAAAAGAGCATTCAAGTCTTCAACCACAAGCAATTTTGATGAGTTCTTCACGTTTAAGCTTATATATTGTCAGTTATCTGTAAGAAGATAACAAGTTTAGAGAAACAATGCAAGTTATTTGTTTTCTTGCCCTTTTCCTGACCTTTCTCAGCAACCAAACGCAGGGGATATTTCTTCAAAAACTAGAACAAGAAGATGATTACCGATGGAAATTTCATCGGTTCAAAAATTTTCTCAGTGGCCAAACACAACCCAGAAAGAATTTCCTAAGCTTTCTCAGCAAACAAACACGGGGATCTCTTCAAATACTAGAACAACAAGATGAAAAGAAATTTCATTGGTTCTGAAATTTTCTCAACTTCCTAAGCTTTCTTAGCAACCAACCACATGGAAACTCCATCAAATACTAGAACAGCAAGATAATTACTAACAAAAGCAATATCAATCACCCTGAAATTTTCTCAGTAACCAAACAGAACCCAGAAAAACATACCGGGAACAGAGACTTCCAGAACTCAAAATCGGTCTTGGGTGCCTCGGCGATCCTGGTCATCCAAGAGAATAACATGATGAGAGAGCCAACAGCGAGAGAAAGTGTGGAGGTCAGCCATGGATATGGATACGCATTCAAAACCTTCTTGTTGTAAATGTTGAACACCACGTTCAAACCCCACCACAGAGCGAAGTACAGCCCGATCTTAACCTTCTTCGCCGCCGCCTCCGACGGCGCTTCGGCCACCGTCAGTTCAATGTTCGACTCGATCGGCTCCGACCGATCAGCCTCATAAGCTTTTCTCGTAATCAAATCACTCTTCCGAGTTCCCAATGGCCCAAAGTTCGAAACCGAAGAGACATGAAGAGCATTTTTCATACAGACTACGGCGCCTTGGGGTTTCTGCACCGGCAATGGAGGTGGACACGAAAACCGCCGGATTGGCGCCGGAGACCTCCGCCGGAGAACAACGTCGGACCCATTAATCGATTTTGCAGATTGACTCAAAGAAGAGATCATGATCGTAAAAACCCAGAAATTAGGCAAAATCACAGACTAGTCCCTTCACGACTCTGGGAAAAATTAGTACACTAATCGCTCAAAATCGCCCAAATATCCTAAAATGCGGTTACCCAGAAAGCCAAGTTTCCAGGAAAATTGATTTCGAAACTCGGTGGGTGGAATAGAGGAATATGAACAGTCCTAAATAGTGGAATTTTGTAAAAACTAAGCAAAGGAAGCCACCGAGAATGTAGGTGTTTGGTGATCGTTCTATTCAATGAATCCGCACAGGATTTGGGGTTGGTAGAGGGAATTTTGAATATTAGAAGACGGAGGAGATTGAGGTATGAATTCAAAAGAAATTTTCAAAGGGTTTTTTTTTTTCTCTCAACTGAGTTGGGTGGCGGCTTTGATCGAATTTGAAAATGTGGATTGCCTTCCCTCCGTGGAATTGGGTGATTGGGTGAGGATCCAACAAAATCAAATTACATAACTTTAGAGGTTCATTTTTTCTTTTCCAACATGGAATTCAAATAACTTTTTGAAACTGTTCTTGGAAAAGGAAAAAGGGGAAGAAAATAAAGAAGAAGGAATTTGTGGGGTCAAATCTTAACATCCATAAACAAAAAACTTGCCTGTGATAGGCAAAAGAAACAGAAACAGAAATGTTATTGAGTATATACACAGCTGAATCGTTTCATGAGTTAAAAATAGATACAAATTTGAACGATAAAGGGGAGGAGACAAATACCACATAGGAACAGCAATTCAAATTAAAATTCTTTTGAAGTTAAATTATATTTTTCTGTTTCTAAACTTTAATTCTGTTTCTATACTTTATCACTTATATCATTAGGTGGAAAATTCTTTTCTAGTTAAATTACAAGTATCTAAGAACTTTCAAAGATGTGTTTAATATGTTCTTGAACTTCAAGAATATTTTGTAAATATTAACCTGAGCTATAGTTAGCAAGTATCTTAATTTTCAATCTTATGTCTAGTAAGTTCGAGTTTAATTCTCTAAATTTTAAATTTTATGTTTAACATATTTGAATTTTTTAGAAATTTTCAGATTTAGACATAAAGATTGAAAAGTTATTGTCTTATGAAGCACAAATTTTAGCTAAAAAAAGATACAAAATTGAAGTGTTAAATGGATTCTGAATTTTATAAAATGAAAAATATGACGAGAATATATTAGAAACAAAATTAAAAATTAAAGAACCTAATATTTAATAAACACTATTGTACTTCAACGATATGTTAAGCATAGAATTGAAAGTTCAAAACTTACTATTATTGGGTCAATATGACAACTCTAGAGGGATAAACATAGTTTAAATAATTTTTAATAAACTGTCAAACCGAACGTAGCTCAAATGGTTAAGACACCTATCTCTGACCAAAAGATCATGAGTTTTGAATCCCCACCCACATGTTGTACTAAAAAAAATAATCTTTAATCAACTATTTTGAATGTGTATCAATTAATCAAATACACACATTTTACCAGCAATTAATATCTTCTAGATATATTTTTCTTTTGAGTTCTGGAAATTCAAGAGACTAAGTTGGAGGGCCCAGTGGACGTTCAAAATAACCTAGCAAGATTATAACCCAAGAGAAAATCAATGAATTTCTAAAATAATAATGGATTTTTACATAAAAAAAAATATATAGAAAAATAGATATATCCCATATTGAAAAATTAACCGGTCATTTCTTTTTTAAAATAAAATTTATATTTTATATTTTTCTCTCTTAAATATTAAATATTCAATGGCGATAAAGCACAAAATAAATTATCATCAATCAATACCTAAATATTTAAAAAATAACATGGCGTGAGGGTAAAAAAATCCAAGAAAAAAAAAAGGAGCAAAAGCAGCAGAAGATTTTTATAAGATATGGGTCAATATTTTAAACAAACATTTCATAAAGGGTGTTCTTTATTATATTGTGTCTGCCACAGTTTTCTTAAATAAATGATGAGTTAGATGCTCTCTGTTTCGCAATTTTTATATACCAATTTTAGTACAAATGATTGGAAGAAAAGAAATTCAAACTAACCCACTTAAATAATCTGGTATGGTAGGAACCTAATAACAACCAAATAGTTCAACCAAATCTTATGTTTGGAATTGCTAAACCAAGGGCTGTTTGGTTGGAAAGTCTATTTTGTTTTCAATTCAGAATTAAAAATTTTTAAAATACAGAATGGTTAAAATTTAAATATGAAAAATATAATCTTGCACCAGCCGAATTCGAAAAGCAGGATTCGGAACGGGCATTCCAGTGAGATGGGCCCAATCAAACATTTGACACCTGAATTTGGAGGGGTGCGCCAGGCCCAAGCTGTAGTGCAACGCATGGGCGACGCGCGACGGCCCCAATAGCAAGCTATCGAACTGGGCCTTCCCCCTAGAAAAATGAATTTAATATCATGTGGGCCGATGGCCCACGTATCAGATATTAAACTGATAAGAACAGATACTACACTTGATCTTAGCCAAAAGGCCGAGAAAGGTATGAATTGTTATGCGTTCGGGCATCAGTTTTATAGTCATTTTCGCGCTGCTGGTTTCTGTACACAGCCGATGTGGGACGAGCCGTTTCTCTCTCCTTACTTGTGACGTTGTTTTGTTTTATGTCTGTTTGGACGGTGGATTTGTTAAAATTAATTTCTGTAGTTGTATTATTATTAGTAGCTGTTTAAGAGAGAAGTTAATTCAATTCGGATTTTTTTACCTCATTTGCAAAACCTCTCCCATTGAAATTTTAATCCTTTCAACTTTGTGTGATTTTAAAAATAACCCTTAGTTTGACTCACAATGGAGTAAAAATAAATCTCTCTCTATGAATTTGAAGAATTTAAACTATGTTTTTTAGTACGAAGAATCTAAATTAATTGAATGGTCAAAAATCTAATTGGAAAAATAGTTTAATGTGAAAATTGAATTTTTTAACTTTAAAAAATTAATGTGAAAAATCTAAATTAGTTAATTGAATGGATAAAAATTCTTCAATATCAAAATTTACATAACGTCGACACAAGATTTCATAAATACCAGAATTTAATTTAAAAGAAAAGTCAAAATTTCATGAATCTAGGTTCAAGATTGCATACAAAAAAATGGATTGGTGTGGATCTCAGTTCGGGATAGCACAAACCTGGACCGGGATTAGTGTGGATCCCATTTTTTGTCTTCTCTCCCATTTTGTCCTCTTTTTTGTCAATTAAATCTCCACCATTTAATGTAATATTAGCCCGAAATTTATGACATTTTTTTACTTTTTTTTTTTAGTTTACTTATTGGAGTATTTGTTTGTGGATTTGTGGTTCATGTTTTGGTAATTTTACAAGAATAAAAATGGGAAATTTGGATGAATAGACATTACCTTTTTCACCTTTTTTAAAACACATGTATTCTAGTCAATGACTAACATCATCTATTACACCAGCGTGCATTAATATTTTAGGTTTTCCTTCCTTATTTCTTTTTCTTTATTTCTTCTCTCTACCTCCATGTTCCTCTTTTTCCAGATTTTTTTCTTCTTATCTTCTCTCTTTCTCTCTTCCACTGTCTCCCGCAAGCATGAGGTTTTTCTTGTTTACTCTACTATTAAAAAAAACTCTAAATCTCTCACTTTTTTTAACTAGTAGCCTCCATGATTCCCGTGACCTTTAGCAATCATCAGCGACGAATGCATCAGTTCGTCAAAAGAAAGAGGCTCAGGTGAGGAAGGAAGTTCGACTTACGATGGGGATGAGGAAGGATAGAGAGAGAGTTGAACGAGAGAGACACGAACGAGGAGGGAGAGTTTGAGAGGGAGGGAGAGTTGAGAGGTAGAGAGAGACAATTGAGAGAGAGAGAATGAGAGATGAGTGAGCGAGAGCGAGAATTGAGTGAGAGAGGGAGTTATTCCCGTAAGTTACTTTGAGGGGAAAAAAATAAAAAATTTCCTTCCAAATCCATAATGCCATTATTTAAAATTTTTTATTTGATAGTATCTAAAAATATGATTTTTAATGAGATTGTTTTTTTTTATTGCATCTGAAAATTAATTTTGAATGAACGTTTACCAATTCAATATCATTAAATAAATTTGTAAGGTGAATAATTTTAAATGTTTTGAAATAAAATGTAGTTTACGTATAAAATAATAATAAAATTTAATTAATTTAAATGCAATCACAAATGAGATTAAATCAATCGAATATAAATAAATTTCGAAACAGTTTGGTCAAATTCAAAATCAAAATAATTAACAAATATTCATTAAAGATTCTTTTAATTAAAATTTTGAAAATTGAAACCGAGAGAAACGAAATCTCAAATTTAAAATACTAAGCATAGAAGATTTTTTTTAATTAAAATTTAAAATTATAATTGAAATCCCATCCAGTGGCTCGACCAGTAACCAATGGCGAAAACTCAAAAATCCATGGGTTCTCGATAGAACCCTATTTCGTCCAAGTTGTTGTGAAACCGGAAAAAAGAAGCGGTTTTTCGCACAGCTTGCTCATAGTGCAGGTCCCACTTGTATATTGTATTTGGCCGAAGAAGCATCGGACAGGTTGGAGTTCTTACCTTCTTGGGACTCTATGGACCAATATCTGCTTTCATTATATGGGCAATACCGATCGACTTTAGTAGATCATATGGATGTAGAAAAAGCTTCGGATTTGAATGAATTGGAAACATCTCTTTTCCATTTCTATTTACCCAGTTCATATCTTTCTTTCGTGTGTTCCCGGGAGGAATTCGATCTCGGGATACCACCTAAATAACAGCGGCTAGAGGGTCAACATTCAAATTTAAAATTTAATCTAGATTGGTTTCCTTAATTGTTTTTTTCCTCTTTAATTATTTGAACGAATCATTTGACAAATAAACATAAATCTTTTCTTTAATATCTCTCCTGATTTTGATTAGGATTAGAATTCAAATTTATAATTAAATTAGGTAGTACTCCTTTAATTGTAAATTTAAAATTTTATCCAATTAGGTGAAAGTATAAAAAAAAAAAATCCCTTTTTTTTTCTTAAATCTCTTCCCTCGTAAATCTGCTCCTTTAGTCCTAAATTTGACATAAAAAGAAAAAAAAAACAATTTAATCCAATTTGGTGAACTAAAGGAAAAAAAAATAAAAAACAATTTTTTTCTTCTTCACCTCGCTCCCTCTCTCGATCTCTCTCCCTCTCGATCTCATCTCGATCTCATTCTCTCACTCTGTCCTTCTCGATCTCGTTCTCTTTCGTTCCTCTCGCTCTCGCTTTGTCCCTCTCTCTTCTTTCATAGAGAAGAAGATAGTCCGTGTGAGAGGCAAGTGCAGGAGCCAGAGGTTTGAGAGTTGGGTAGAAGATAACAGTATATTGTGTAAAGAAGGAAAGTTTTTAAAAATGTGGAAAATTTTATTTTTTTTCCTTTATTCATATGCAAATTATTCT